CATACAGTATTTTGTATAATAATAAAAGTTGTAGTTACAAAAGTTTCTGGGTGGTATTGCTTAAAACATTCTCTGAGTGCTGAGTAAAGTTACAATGTTTTAAAGAGAACAGGCGTCAATTAAGTAACAATGCCCTTAGTCAATTACAGGGCTTGGCTCCCATAGCAGAGTTAGTGGCTTGACAATGCATTGTTACAATGTATCTCCGCAATGTCAATTTCAAGCAGCCCCCTTGCACAAGCTTGAGCATGCCCTGGGGCACAGAGGGGGGGGGGGCTGTTTCTGGCTACATAGGATTATATTCTTAACAGTTCTAAGTTACATGACCTAATACATTATATTCTAAAGGGGCAATAATAATAATAAATCTAAACATTTAACAATCTTAACAAATAATAATAATAAGAAGAATTAATAATAAATCTAAACACTTTAAGTTGTGGGGAACAAATTATGGGGAGTCACTTCCATTTGGGGGAATCACATTTTTAATACATTGATATGTTATCCCTACATACTCACTTTTTAATTACAATGCATTAACAGTTTAAAATGTGGTTTCAGTTACAATATGGGTTACAAAACGCCACATTGGTAGATATAATTCATTACAAGGGCAATTTCATTCTTCAGTTCTACAGAGAAAGAGCCACACACTGGCTGTATATTTAGTAATACAGTTGGCACCACTTTCATGAACACCTGTTAATAACATTTGTTATGAGAACAACATTTTTAGTTATCAGTTTCACTCTGTATTTTTCACTGACAGTTTTTCCTTCTTTTAAGAACATATTGATGTCCAATTTCCATTAATTTCTCTGTTAGTGAAATTAGTAGATAGGTGACACTAACAACCATGGGTTAAAACCCATCACAAATCCTAAAACCAAGCAAATCAGAGACTTTCAAGATTTTCCAGGCCTTGGAAAAAATACATTGTGGAAAAAATTAATATAAACATTGCAACATAGTATTCATTTCACCTCTCATCATGAAACTATTTCACTGTGAGGATAAAAGGGCATTTTTGTCACCATGACGGGTGTTCTTTTAACCAGGGCCAATTATATCTTTTTAAGAACATCTGGTTTATCAGTATCCTTTTACTGATCTCACTTACACTGAATAAATTAAATAACCAGGTCAGCTCTAATAAGAAAGGAGGTTACAGTATATTAGCAAGTAGAAGGAGCATTATAAGTATGAAATCAATAGAAAGTTCAGTGGCGTTTTTCATTCACAGCTGAAATAAACATTCATTCATTAAATATTTGTTTACTCATCTGTTACATAGGCTTAGATATCAGGTATTATGTGATTTTGAAATTTGTGCTATGGTCAGATTTTTGTATATAAGCCAAGGCAGAAAAATCTCTTAGACATTCTTAGCAGCTGATGGGGGTTGTTTGCAGTTTTAATATTACTATCACTTATTTGAATGGCCTAATTTGAAATTGATCACCTTTCTTTAACTTTGTTGGGATATTTCCTTGTTCATTGTTATATACTGTCAATAAAAATGACTTATTGAAATAAATCCCTGTAACTGAAATACTTCATCGTAATTTATCCATCACTTTTGTTTCAGACTGGTCTGATGTACTGGCCTTTTGTGCAGGTGAGTTTCAAGTTAACATCAGTGCTAAAAGAATAACCTTTTCTTTGCCATAGAGTCCTATCCTACTTGTTGCCCACCCAATGCTCCCATCAAAGTCAGTGGAATTTTTGGGTGTAAGGAATGTAGGATCAGGTTCTAACAACATCTGGAGCACTACATTAACTCTCTCTCTTTCCAATGCAGCTTTCAAACTTCGTTCTGGTCCCTGTTTACCTGAGAACAGCTTACACTGGCCTCTGTGGCTTTCTCTGGGCTATCTTCATTTGCTTTTCACAACAGAGTGGTGACGGCACAGCAAAGTCAGCTTTTATGTGGTTCCAACAAGAGAAGGTCAATGCAGATGGAGAACCATCAGATAAATGAGAATGTTATTTAACGTAAAATGTATTTTAAATGTTTAAGCTGTGCTTTAAAAAGGCAGTGAATTGCATCACCAGCTCCTTGCTGTGTTTTAAAAATTAATCTTTCTCCTATTGCTCAGTGGTCATTATATATACAGTGCAATGGTTTTGCACTTGTTTATTTTCACAGAAAAGAGGCCATTGTATATGGGTGTTTAATTATTTTCAAGCTGCCAACTGGTCTCCTCTGGAGACTCTAGCCACTTGTTTATTACGGGGAAACAAGAGCATTTGCACAACATGGTAGCCAGACTACCACTGGGGAGAAATCTCTCTGGGTATGTCTACACTACCCCCCTAGTTCGAACTGGGGGGGGTAATGTAGTCATACGGAGTTGCAAATGAAGCCTGGGATTTGAATTCCCCGGGCTTCATTTGCATGAAGCCGGCCGGCGCCATTTTTAAATGCTGGCTAGTTCGGACTGCGTGCCGCGCGGCTACACGCGGCACGAACTAGCTAGTTCGGATTAGGCTTCCTAATCCGAACTAGCTGTACACCTCGTTCCACGAATTAGGAAGCCTAATCCGAACTAGCTAGTTCGTGCCGCGTGTAGCCGCGCGGCACGCAGTCCGAACTAGCCAGCATTTAAAAATGGCGCCGGCCGGCTTCATGCAAATGAAGCCCGGGAAATTCAAATCCCGGGCTTCATTTGCAACTCCGTATGACTACATTACCCCCCCCTAGTTCGAACTAGGGGGGTAGTGTAGACATACACTCTCTCTCTCTCTAGATATAAATAATATTTTCCTGCGGGATGACAAGAGTGATGTCATGCGTCACTCTGCATCCTGCAGCCCCTGTCACCACGCAGCCTCCCAATTCCGGGTGCTACAGGGAACCATGAGTCATGCGGCGTCCCCCTTGCCCCTCCCCTGTGCTCAGGGGGGCAGGAGCTGCCCGGCCTAGGAATGTTTAATCAGCTAATTGAGTAGTTGCTGGAATTTCCATCAACTGCTTGATTAGTTGATAAGGAAGGGGGTGCTCGCTATCCCGCCGTGCCTCTCCCTTTGAAACGTACAAGAGCCAAGAAATGTACAAGAGCCGCTGGTGGCTCTTGTATGTTTCAGAGGCAGAGATGCAGCAGGATAGTGAGAGTCCCCTTATCAACTAATTTGACCAGAGCAGTAGGACTGTTTCAATCCCTGCTCCTGCCATTTCCCCATTGCCCTCTGCTCCCCTCCTCCCTGCGGAAATGGTGCTGGGGGGAGCTGGCTTTTAAGCCACTTCCCTCCAGCTCTGGCTCCTGCTCCCCCCCTTGCTGCCTCTCTGATAGAGGCAGCAAGTGGTGGTGGGGAGGTGGGAAGGGAAGGGGAAGCAACTAGTTGAGTTCCTAAGTGGCTACCAAATAAGCATTTATTTATTGGGTAGTCAACTAGTTCCTTACATCCCTAGGGCAGCCTCTAGCCAGGGTGAGAGAGATGGGCATGCTGCAGCCTTTGCTCGGCCCAACCCCTGGTAGCCGGGGGGAGAGAGTCACGGCTGCCAAGGCTGGGGAGGAAGGGGGCAGGGCCGGGGCTAGCGTGGGGGAGAGAGCTGGGCTTGGCGAGGCCAGCGGGAGAGAGCTGGGCTGCCGTGGGTGTGGAGGGGAAAAGGGTAGAGCTGGCCTGGTCTGGCCTCATCTTGTGACTCATGGGTGTGGCCCAACCTCTCCACCCCAGCAGCTGGGAGGGGGGAGAAGGTGAGCTGGGGCTGCCAAGGTTGGAGGGGCAGAGAGGAAATCTGGGGCTTGTCTGGCCTTCCCCCCCACTGGCAGCTGGGCCTGGCCTGGCCTGGTGAGGCCTCAGCTCCTCCCACTGTCCCCCTGGTAGCTGGGGACAGAGTTGGGCCCGGTGTGGCTTCAGCCGGGCTATCCCAGATCCTTCGCAGTGGCTGGGGGGAAAACTGGGCATGACCTTGCCCTGGCCCACATCCCCAACAGGTAGTGGGACCCAAGAGCTGGGGCCAGCCAAAGAGGGTAAAGAATCGGGGCTGGCAGGGGGAGCTCGGTTTCTTGGAGGGGATAGAGCCGGGGATAGGGTGACCTTGGACCCTCCCCAGCGGCTGGGAGGGGAAGAGCCAAGGCCAGGGCCCCATGTCCTCCCTGGCAGCTGGGAGAAGGGGGAAGAGCCGGGGCCGAGGCAGCCTGAGCCTCAGGCCCTCCCTGGCTGAGAGGGGGGTTGGTGAGCATAACGAGCAGGGGACACAGTCCTCTAGTTAACTGTAATTAAATTTTTAAGCAACTTTTAATTGCTATAAAAGGGGAATAGAACATTAAGTATTCAGTGTTTATACTTGCCATTTGTGATGAGAGCAAGATCCTTTTGCATTTACTGGAATTTTTTTCTGAATTGAAGTCTGTGGTTTGGGGTCTATATTTATTCTGAGGAAATAAAGTACTCTTTTTAATAGGAACTGATTATAACATTTTTAAATTCTTGCCTTTGCCTGCAATGAGACTGTGCAAAGCTAGTAACTTAGCCTTTCAAAATTTACCAGCCTAAGCACAAAATGTGCTTGTCCACCTTCTACAATGATCAGTGACAAGGAAAAATTAACGGTATTTTATGTATTTGTCTATTTAGCATAGTTGTCCAAGTGGAGTGAATGAATGGAATTTTGCTAGGCTGATGTAGCTGTTGAATTGATATTGCTGTGAGTGTATTGCCACAATAATGAGGCAGTTAAAAGGTGTCTTTATTTATTCTGGCTAATACTTTTAAAAACAACTATATTTTGATATTTGTACTCCTTTTCAGTGAGAGTCACAGTGTATGGAGTATGTATGACAGAGACACCTCTAATTTCTTTTTGAATATTATGTAACAATGTGCTCAAATTAATGCTTTTTGTGACAATTCTTGTACTTTATTTCTGCATGTGCCTTAAATGTATGGTAATGAACTGCATTGATTTGGAAGAAAAGGAACTTGGGAGAAGTGCCATTGCAGGGCAAATAAGAGGTGACATTAGGTAGGAGGGAAATTGACAAAAGATTTCAAGAAAGAATATTTACTATCTCTATGGGCACGTCTACACAGCAGGGCAAACATCAAATTAAGCTACTCAACTTGAGCTACGTCAATTGCATAGCTTAAGTCAAAATAGCATAATTGAGCTTTTGGTGCTGTCTACACAGCAGGAAGTCAAAGGAAGAACACTCTCTCATAAATTGAGGGTTACAGGAATCGGAGTAAGAAGTCCTCCAGATCACCATTATTTCAAAATAATGGCTTGCAGTATTGACACGCTTTTTGTTATTTCGGAATAACTTCAGTTATTCCGAAATAACGCTGCTGGGTAGACTTAGCCTATGTGATCTTCAGTATACTGCCATACACTGCAGTTTGGAAAGCATTCCATTAATGATTGTTTTTGAACTTTTACCAATAAATGTGACAGCTATCAAGATTGCAGATAATCAGGGGCAGATGAGGATTTTGCGGGGCCCAGGGCAGCACAATTTCGCGGGGGCCCCCTTTTGACGCAGCGCATGTGCCGTGGCGCCACAGCGCATGCGCAGGGCTTCTTGAAGCGCGGGGTCCGGGGCGGCCGTCCTGCTCACCCTGCCCTATATCCGCCCCTGTGGATACTGTCAGATATCAGATTACTAATCCCTCATATGGAGTTGACGTTCAACACCATTAATTATTTCCTGTTCCCTGTTTCTTTACATTATTAGCATGCACAAAATGAAAATGTTGTTAAGAATGTAGTTCTGGGAGAAAAATTGCAGTGTGCTGTTAACAATATGCCATATTCCATCCTTAAAGTAGCTGCAATTCACTGGTGCATGCAATGATTCATATATAGTTATAATTGTTAGTAAAATTTTCATGAGTGAAATCCCCTTCTTTTATTTTTAAAGCTTTGGATGTTTACACAAGTTGTGCATTAGTACTGTATGTATTTCTGATGCCAGTTATTGAGAAAATTGGCTTAAATGGGATTTTTGTCTGGGTAAAGACTTCAGGATTTTTCTCCTAGTTTCTTCTGTTTCCAGTATATAGAAAGGTAGTTCTTTGTTCCTTTGCTCTTTTATGTAATTGCACTGGAGCATGTAGTTCTTATGTTTCAGTGAATTTAAGAACTTTAGTAATCCTTTTAGTCCCTCCATTTCTCTTGAAAAGTTGCTAACGGCTTCGTAAGTATCATTGATCTCTTCCTGTTCCAAAACCTCTTTGCAGTCATAATATTTGGTAGTTAGTAGGAATATTTCAGGGGTGGAAGATTCAAAACAATGTGGCTATCTTGGGCCAGATCCTTTGCTGGTGTAAATTGGCATAGCTCCTCTGAAGTTTCTGGAACTCCATCAACGTATGTCAGCTGGCCCCTTACTTTTTGGAAATACTATGATTTTTTTCTACTTTATAGATTAGGAAACTCTAATATGACTTATGTGACATTTGTATGTGCCTCCTCTGCAAACCAGGGCCAATGCATTGGTGACACTATATTAATAAAAAAATCCAAAATATCAAGCTGTGGACCAGCAGCTGGGCAAGTTTGTCCTCATCCAGGTTGGGTGCATGTTTCATAAATGGTCCCAGGAGTCCACATAGAGAAGTTACAATAGACTTAATGCCAACAGAAGTCACAAAGGGTACGTCTAGACTACATGGCTCCGTCGACGGAGCCATGTTGATTTGTTGTTTTGGAAAAGGGAAATGAAGCCGCGATTTAAATGATCGCGGCTTCATTTACATTTGCATGGCTGCCGCGCTGAGCCAACAAACAGCTGATCAGCTGTTTGTCAGCTCGCGCGCTAGTCTGGACGTTCCCCCTGTCGACATCAAAGCCCTTTGTCGGCAGCCCCGGTAAACCTCATTCCACGAGGAATAACGGGGCTGCCGACAATGGGCTTTGATGACGACAGGGGGAACATCCAGACTAACGCAGACTGATCAGCTGTTTGTCGTCTCAACGCGGCAGCCATGTAAATGTAAATGAAGCCGCGATCATTTAAATCGCGGCTTCATTTCCCTTTGCCTACAACCCTAATCTACATGCCTCTGCCAACAGAGGCATGTAGTCTAGACACAGCCAAAAAAA